CTGTCCCCGCCACGGCACGGTCTCCTCGCCAGGCCCGTACCCTCGCACACGCCTCTGGCCTGGCCCCTCCTGTCTGGCCCCCACCCAGTTACTGCCAGGAGCCGAGCACGTGCCCACAGCCCAGCTGCCTGTCCTGACAAAACCCACAAATCCTGCCTCGCCTCGAGCCCAGGAGCAGGCGAGGGCAAGAGGAAACTCGGGCTGCCTATACCCTGGAGACCCAGCAGCAGAAACTCCAGGCTTTGCTTGGGCCAGGGGAGGGGGAGGTAGGGAAGCCTGGGTCACCCTGACGCCCGCCGGCACCCGCCTTCTGGAGCCAGCCCAGCCCCTGAAGGCAGCTCCGCTCTGCCCGGTACACCACCAACCGTCACAGCAAAGACGTCCGTGGGGCCTGGAGGATTTGCCAGGGCGAGAGGCCGCTCACCGAAACCCCCTCAGGGCAGATGGACATGCGGCCTGAGCCCCACCAGGACCCCCTGGTCTCCCAGAGCCACCTGGCCTGCACAGCCACATGACGGGACAGGCTACTTACACCCTCCTTCGCTGCTGAGGCAAACCTGCTTGCTCCAGTGGCGAAACTGCTCCAGCCCTGAAAGGAAGTGACACAGAAGCCACATGGTGGCTCCACACGTGGCCACCAAGGGGGGGGGTGCTCCTCAGACACGCACCGGCCGCCTCGCACCCACATTCTGTGGGAAGGACGCAACCAGGGCCCCGGCTCCCTGGAGACACGCCTTCCCCCGAAGCGCCCCGCCGCCCCTCCAGACAGACCATGGGATGCTGGGGGCACTGAAAGCTGTCTTCCTTCCCTCTAAGTCCAAGGTTGTTTCCCCTAAGCCTCCAAGACAGATGAAAGAAATTTGCAAATAGAAACTCTTCATTTAAATCCCAACTCGGCCTGTTCCACCTGAAGGAGACGCAAAGGGACCCTCGCGAGGAACTGAGAAGACAAGTGCTTGCGGCCTCTTCCCCATGGCGGGGCGGGGTGACACGGAGACACACAACTACAGCCTGGGAGGCGCTTCTGGAGAACAGGCTCCCGCACGGCGGGCCAGGCCGATGGCCCCTTTCTTCCCTGGGTCAGCGCTGGCCCAGAACCCACATGCTTGGGAGGCTCTGCCAGGAGCGGGCGGCCAGGCGGGCTCCGCTCAGAGGAAACGAGCCTTGATAAATCTGAGGGACATGTTGTGCAGCCAAAGTAAACAAACGACAAAACACGCGTGGGATTAAACACCGTAAGCGGCACTTTAAGAAGAGGACGTCTGGGCTTCCCTGGTGGCGCAGTGGTTGAGACTCCGCCTGCCGATGCAGGGGACGCGGGTTCGTTCCCGGGTCCGGGAAGATCCCACATGCCGCGGAGCGGCTGGGGCCGCGGGCCACGGCCCGCGGACCCGCCCGCCC